TCCTGCTGCCGTCTGTCCCGAGGCTGGCCCGTGTGCCAGGGGAACAAGCAGAACCTTTCATTTACAAAGACTTTCTGCTGTAGTTGGGCTTTTAAACTGCCGTTAGAAAAGCTTTACGCTACAATTTTTCTCGATGAAAAGAATCCTTAGCAGGTCCATTCCCGAATCCTTAGCCTGGACATCCCTGAAGTGCTGGTCTCTCTCAGTGGCCAGAGACCAGAACTCAATTTCCAGCTTTCTGGGCTGGAAGCAAGAAGACTGGTGTTAAACCAAACCCCCAACTGCCTGCTTGTGAAGAAGATTAGGAAATCCAGGGGGGAAGGGAGGGGGACGAAACCACAACAGGAAGCACAGCTGGAAGTGTGAGACCATTCGTAACAGCACCAGGCTGACGAAGAACGGGGCAGTACGTACATCCCAGAGCTAACCAGGGGACGGATCACAATGGGATCCTAATTCCTGTCTTGCAGCCTCTCTCACGGTAACGGGTCCAACCAGAACGGATCTGGCCCCGTTTGTGTTTAAATGCTGGCTGTAATCCTAGGAGTTTAATATCATAATTCTTAAGTGTGTGTGTGTGTGTATCCTCACCTCCTAGAAGTGTGGTTCAAGCCCTTCAATACTGCCACAACAAAATTAACTTGCTCTTGCTCTTTCACAAGAGCAGCATTTCACTTGGTAACGTTCTTGAAAGTATCTGTGTGCTTCATCGTTAAGGCTTGTTTAATTACGTTGGTGGGTGAGAACCAAATGCTTTGGCACCCTTCGGGAGTGACCTCCGACTTCACAGTCAGACTCTAGGGAGGAAAATTCTTTCATGGATAACACCCCCAGCCTTTAAAGCCAGCGGAAAGAGCACATACATCTACAAAAGCTTGGGTTTAAATACAAATCACATTGAAGCTAACTTGTCAGAGAAAGAATCTAAAAACTCCTTATAAACATGGATTATTTTTCATACTCCCAAACTAGCTTAAGTAGATTTTCTTCAAGGGAGAAGAATAATCTCCTTTTCAGCTAGAAGCGATCATGAGAAACCTCAGCTCAGGAAGGAGAAATATGGGGAGCACTGTAAGTGACTGGGAGTGCGAGGCTGCCAAAGGAAAGGGCTCTCACCTTAACGTGTACTCATCTGTAAAGGGGGGGTGGGCGAGGGGCACGGAAGGGAGAGCCGCTCCAGAAATCTAATCTCGGGACTGGGACCAACCCCGTGAAGAACTTCTGATCCCGCTCGTGTCCGAACCAGCGCCGAACTGGGCCCTTGCAAATATGGAGGGAATGGCCCAGGGTTCACTTCTAAAGTTAAGCCTTCAAAAAAGCGACCCGAGACCCAGCAGACAGCCCTTCCTCCGCTCCAGCCCTGCCCTGCCCCAGCTGCGACCTGGGAAATTACGGAGGAGGTTCTGGGAGTTTCCACGCCGGGTCGGCGGGACGCAAGGACGGGCGAACAGCAGGGGAGGCTCAAGCCCCGCGCGTTCCCCTCCGGCAGGACGCAAGCGGTCGCTGTCAAACACCTCGGG